GGCCCAGAGCCAAGAGGTTGGCAGAACACAGCAATGGTCCCAAGCTGCAGCAAGTAATGTTTAGGTTGGATATATTATGAAAAACTCTCTCACTAGGAAGGTGGTGAAGCACTGGAACAGGTTACCTAGAGAGGTGGTGGAATCTCCATCCTTAGAGGTTTTTAAAGGCCCAACTCAAAGCCCTGGCTGGAATGATCCAGTTTGGGCTGGTTCTGCTTTGAGCAGGGTGTTGGACTAGATGACCTCCTGAGGTCCCTTCCAACCCTGATTTTCTATGATCCAATGATACACATTCACGGCAGGAAGCACAGCTGTGAGATCACACATTAGATCAAACCATGTATTATGGCCAGTAGAGAGAAAGCCTGGCATCATGTTTCTGGGTTCCACCTGCACCACAGGCAACATGGGCTGCACGGCTCACAGTGGAGGCAGCACCAGGAACACTGCTGCCACTGCGAGCCTTGTGAGGTGCAGGGCTTGCAGCAGGGAGAGCACTGCTGCCCCCACGGCAAGCTCTACAACCAAAGACCCTGCCACTGCAGTCAGCAAGGTTCTCAGGGGAAGCAGCACTCTCCCTGCTGCAAGCCCTACAGCTGACAACAGAGCCACCAGTGTGAGCCTTGTCAGCTGCAGGGCTGGAAGCAGGTGGTGCAATCCTCAGCTGATGGGGCTCCCAGCCACAAGGGAGCACTTGGCCACACATTCAATTAATGGCATGCTTAGAACAAGCTATACATTTTTGTGAAATAGCTTTCTAGCTTATTGCTTGTTTTAACATGCCATTAATTGTTTGAACATGTAACTGGGTCACAACTTAAGGTGTGATTACCCAGCTAATCACACCTTAAGTGTAATGTGAAGAAGCAGCCAACATGGTTTACCTTGGGAGCAACTTCCTTACACAGTTCAATTGGGTTAGTTTTTATTCGCAAGACAAGCACTTAGAAAGCATGAAGGGCTTTATTAACAAAAGGATTTTGCTTTTACTTTAAGATTTAACTTTATTAGAAAATGTTAATGACTAACTAAACCATTTGAATCTCCAAGAGAACTGACAATGAAAGATTTCTTTCACGGGGAATGACAAAAGGTGCTTTACCCCATGCTCTGGCTTGAATGATTTCTGCATCCGATCTCCTCCAAAACACCTCTCTGACCCATTATTTTAATAGATGGCAGTGGAAACTTAGAAGTCCTTGGTGAACACTTCATAAACAAGTCCTTACATATTTATTCTATTTACCAAAGGAAAGCCTTTTCACATTCACTCCTGGCCCTGGCTACATTTCAAAGGCGATGGAGCTTAACTGCAACATCTTTCTCAAACAATGACCATCTCGTCAAATTCACAGGCTTGTTTTGGAAAATTAAGACCAGATGATTGTTTATATATGGGATTTATGACAGTTGTGACATGATCCAGATTCCTTCAAGAACAAAGAATCCACTGATAATTTTAAGTTTAAAGAAAAACCCAGGGGAATTTGTGGCAAATCTATGTAAGGCATTGAGATTTTGCAGAGATAAGATGGACACTTAACCGATTAGGACCAGATTGCCTTCTCAGGTGCCCAAAAGGATTGTAAGTGTAGTAAGCCTTCCCTCCTAAATAACAGCCAACTGCAATTCCAGTTCACAAGGCCTGCTCTGGACTAGCACTACTAGCTCTCAGAAGGGGAAAGGGAGAGCTAGCATGAAGCCCTACTTGGCAAAGCTGGACAGACTCAGGGGAAATGTAAGAATTTAAGAAGTGCTGTACTGGGCCAGGCCAATGGTCCATTTAGCCCTCTATTCTGTCTCTGACAATGGCAGAGAGAGAGCATTCAATATCCTCCCTGGCATGTTATAAAGGCTTATATCTGCAGGACAAAGAAATTAACTGAGCCAGACAGAACTCTGCCCAGGCTTCCTGAACAGGACAGACCCACAGCTACATCTCACACCCAGCTCATCTACTAAAAGAAGAATCTGACTATCAGCATTCCTACAACAAAAAACATTGAAGTCCAGTCCTGGTGACTAGAACAGGCTGCCTTCAAAGCCCCAACCATAACTTGATGCAGAGGACCACCTTTAAATTAATATCTAGTAAGAGAATTAACTGGTTCATAGGTAAGATACCATATGTGAAAACAAAATTTCTGCCTGCTGATAAAAATGGTGCCATTATCAGATATGTTCACCACTTCAGCAGTAACACTTCCAAATGAGAGCAGATATTACAACACTCAATTAACAGGAATTAAACCTCATACCACTTTTGAAACAGGGAAGTATTATTTCTGATGGAAAGAGAGAAGTAAAAGTTACGTGCCCAAGATCACATGGCAAGACTATGCCAAAGCAGAGACCAAAGTTTAGGCATCCTAACACAGGCCCTTACTCTAACTACTGAACATACAGGTAGTCTTCGACTTACATTTCAAGTTGCAACATTTCACACACACAACGTTTATAAACTGTAAAAATTCATTTCCAAATATATTGTATAAACATTTTCACCCTTTTTTCCAACCACCTCCAGTTTTAACTAGAGTTAATTGGATAAGAATAGGGGAGAAAGAGGAAGCAAGCTTCAGGGAGGGAAGATCTCAACAACAGGCTGTTAGATTCTGCAATAGCTTTCCACAAAAAGTGATGGAAATCCAGAGCCAGGGTAATTTTTAATGAAAATCAGAGGTAACACCAGAAAACATACCAAGAAACAATCCAGCCCTACAGCCAAGGACGTAGTCAAGGATGCACTGCAGAGTAGGAGTTTTGAAGTGATGGGAGCCCAAGAAGGGTGTCTGTGCCTTAAGGAAATGATCCTTCGGGCACAAAGCGAGACGATCCCGACGTGAGGAAAAAGAGGGAAAGGGGCCAGGAGGCTTCCTTGGCTGACGAGAGAAATCCAGGACAGCCTAAGGGCCAAAAGGGGAGCACATAAAAAGTGGAAACAGGGAGAGATCACCAAAGACAAATATACCTCCTCTGCTCGTGCTTGTAGGGAGGCAGTTAGACAGGCCAAAGCTACCATGGAGATGAGGATGGCATCCCAAGTAAAGGACAACAAGAAATTGTTTTTTTTAGATATACAGGGAGTAAAAGGAAGGCCCAGGGAGGAATAGGACCTCTACTAAATGGGTGTAAGCAATTGGTGACGGACAGGGGGGACAAGGCTGAACTCCTCAACGAGTTCTTTGCCTCAGTGTTCCTAAGCGAGGGGCACGACAAGTCTCTCACTGGGGTTGTAGAGAGGCAGCAGCAAGGCGCCAGACTACCATGCGTAGACCCTCAGATGGTGCAGAGTCATT